GAAATCATCCCTTAAAGGGGTGAAAATGGTGTTGAACGTTTGTATTTCGAAGCAAGCTAAATAAAGTAAAAAAGAAGCAAGTTAAGTTATAAAATTGTACCTTTAAAACTTCCTCAGAGATATGGCAGCGGAAACTTTTGATATAATTTAATATAATATATTTTCTAGTTGCGACTCGCTGTCGCTTATTCTCCTTAGCTTTACTCACGTTAAAAGTATATAGGATACTTAATACTTTCTTAGATTTACGCGAATATTTGACATTTTACAAACTTTCTTTTCGGATTTTTTTGCAGATTTATTTTTATTTTCCTGACGCTTCGAATGCTTTATAGCAATCATGGTCACGGGAGATCAACATATAGGATATTTTTTACTGCGGGAAAATATTTCATCTCTGAGAAGTCTATACTAACCGTTAAAAAGTACCTGGGGACAAACCCGAGCGGAGCGTGGGTTTGTCGCTAGTTATGTTATACTATGATTAAATTACTTTATTTGTTTTTAATTATGAATTAGTACCTAGTATTGGTTTTCAGCACCACTTACAGCGGTTTCGCAGAAGTTTTCTCGTTTGAAATTTACTCTGCGTTTATGTTATTCAAAGTTTTTTACCTTATTATTTCTGCCTGACGGGCGACTCGATAGCACTCCACCGCTTGCATTTATCGTGGTCAAAGTTATTTTTACTAGATCGGTTATTATTGTATACATAATATTATATAGTTAACACTTCCAGGTAAATTTCTAAGAAATTAATTAAGTTACTAACAAATCTATTTAACAATAGATGTACGACGTCTAGACGTAACTGTAACGCCGGTGTGTCCGCGGTCGTGGAGGGATTAAAAAGTCTATTCGATTTTTTTTCACTTTTGTACTATGTCACTACCACTATAACATAAGAATTTATTTTTTAACTTTTTCATATTCGGGGGTTGAACTTAGGAGTTCCTGATCTGTAGCCGTACATGCTGGCCAATAGACCAAAGAAAGAGCTATTATTTGAAAAAGAAAGGTCCGTACTACCAAATATTACTACATATATACAATATACATACATACATACATACATACATACATGTAAATATTTGTGTATTAAAAGTAAAATAAAATGTTAAAACATCCACAATTTATGTTTTGTCGTCACCACTTGTAACTTTTGCAGTTTCTACTGTTCCAATTTCTGTAGTAAGTACATAATAATACCTACGATCTTCGAGTAAAATCGCTGTATCATACGAACACACAGACATGACGAGGTTATAACCCTAAACACTGCCTCGGTGGTGTAGTGGCTAGCATGTACGGCTGCACACCTGGAGGTCCTGGGTTCGAGTCCCGGGTCGGGCCAAGTTTAGTTATTGAGTCATTCTGTATAGTAAGTCTCAAGAGCAGCCCGGAGTTGGGAAATTGGCGGTGTTTCACCCCCATGCCTCGGAAAGCACGTAAAGCCGTCGGTCCAGCGCCTTAACTCTCACTGGTCGTGTCGAGCAGTCGTCCCACCGGAGTATGAGAGTGACAGGAATAGAGAGTGCACGTTGTGTCTGCGCGTACACTTGTGCACTATAATATCTCCTACGCAGTTAGCTAGTCTCAATGAGATTAACCGCCGTGGCCGGAATCAGTCAGGAGAACATCATCACAACCCTAAAAACGTTTATACATATTTTAATTTTTCGAGCATAAATATTTAATGTGGACTTGTAAAACGATAATTTTCACATATTTTTGATTTTTTATAATATATCTTTTGAAAATGGTACCAATTGGTGCTGTAACCGGAAGATAGTCAACCGTAGCCTATTTAATATGAACTACTTTTTCCCCTTTAATATGAGTTCCCTTTGAGATAAATCATAAAGCAATAATTTCTTTACTACGATATAAATAATATACGACCACCATAAAGCTATCTCTATTCGGGGTTTATTACACAATCGGTAATTTAATATCGTTATAGTGAGTTTAATTATGATGCCGCGTAATTTATGTGTTTTGTAGTAAGTATATGTATAGCTGAAATCCGTATGAAATGTTGAATAGATACGAATTCGAGTCTTCTTGTGTAATGCTTTCTTAGATATGAATATATTTTTAAAATTTTAAATATCTCTTTGGACTTTTTCGCAAATTAATTTTGATTTTTAGTTTCCGACGTTTCGAATGGTTTACAGCAATCATGGTCGCGGGAGAGTCAGAGATCTCTAAGCCATTTTTCGTCGTCGGGAGCATTCTAAACGTCGGAACCCAATAATTAAATAAATCCGCGAAAAAATCCGAAAAGTTAGTTTTATTTTAAATGTTAAATATTAGATTTTTCTATCTTATTATTATGTTTTTATATACGACTTATGTTTAAAGTTACAAGTATTTAGCTAAATATTAAATAAGATTGCTATCTATTGTAAATTTAGTGCATAAGCAAACACAAATAATTATTAAGCTTTTTACTAAAGTTTAACAAATACTAAGTATAAACTAATATGGAAACTTAGGTAAAGGTAAGCCATTGATCTGTCAATCAATTGACGTTATTCACGCGTTCAAACTCTCCTTTTGACAAGTAATACTGACAACTGTGCAGCCATTCACAGCTAATTTCAGTGCGGTACAATTACTAGCATTATTAACTGTCTCGGTAGCCTAGTGGTTCCCACGTACGGCCGCTGATCCGAAGTTCGAATCCCAGATCAGTCTAAGTATAGTATTGACTTTTCTTAATTCTCAGTAACAGCGCGGAGCTGGCGATGTTGCACCGCCGTGCCTTGGAGAGCACGTAAAGACGTCGGTTCTGCGCCTTAACTCTCACCGGTCGTGTCGAGTAGTCGTCTCACCGGAGTATGAGAGTGACAGGAATAGAGAGTGCACGTTGTGTCTGCTCGTACACTTGTGCACTATAGTATCTCCTGCGCAGTTGGCTAGTCTCAGTGACAATTGAGATTGTCCGCCTTTTCCGATATCGATCATTAAGGTTTTATTATATATTTGTATATATGTATGTATGTATTCAGCCCTTTATAACGTCCCACTGCTGGGGCTGGGTCTCCCTTCAAAATGAGGGGGATCAGGCCATAGTCCACCACTCTGGCCAAGTGCGGGTTGGCGGACTTCACATGTCTTTCGAAAACTTGCTAGGTTCTCTCAAACATGCAGGTTTCCTCACGATGTTTTCCTTCACCGTTTTAATACAGAATGCTAAATAATGTCCATTCTAATAATTGTGTTCTTCGTGTGTTGATTAGCAGTTTCTATTTGGGTCATAGATATTAAGTTATAATTTATATGCTTATTACTATATCGTTGCTATACGAATTTAGGTTAGTTGTTTGCAGGGTGAGGCTTAATGAAGTATATTTCAAAGTGAACCTGCTTTGTGTTTTAATTTATATATTTTATGAGTAAGCTCTAATTATTAATATAAATCTTTGTCATTTTTATGTTTATTACAATGAAGGTAAAGGAATTTCTTTAAGCTCCAAGATTTTTTTTGGTATATGCTTGAGTAAGATATTTTAAATCAACTTAATTTCGAGCTGAGCTGTACAATTGTACATGGCTGATGCTAATGATATGAGCGTGGGTCGTGGGCCGCACTGTGGGACATGGGTTCGATTTTTCGATACCGTTTTCGGCTTAGCTTATTTAGAAATAAGAATTAAAGCTTTTGAGTCTTTACATCAAAGCTCGTTAATTTTACTGCGAATTAATTAACTTCAAGGCAAAGGCATTCCGCTTTATTTCGGAGGCTGTAAATACGACTAGAAGTTTACAAAGGTTGCCTTTGAGATCCTAGCGCTAGAAATAAAATGTAATCTCGCTAAATGTTAAAATGTATTTGAAAAATTTAATATTCCTGCTTTAAATTATAAATGTTATGATTATTTTTAAAGTAGAATGAAGATAGTATTTATAAAGCTAGAGTATATTTCCGAAATTATGGTCGATACATCTAAAATTAACCTACGTTGTTCATCATAAACATAAAGCTTCCCATAAACAAAAGATTTTTAAATTATCTGTATAAATATATAACTGTTTCGAAACTTTTTTGATCGATAACATGAAAGCTTGTCTATAACTTACTGATCAATAAAAAGGAAAGAAAATCAGATGAACGACGAAGATAAAGAGCAGTGTTTGTTTTTTTGTTCGTTTGAATGTTGTAATTGCTAATATCTGTAACTGCCATTAAAAAATATTTTAAAATTTATTAGAAACGTATACGATGACTAAGAGAAGAACATATCTACATATTATGTACATATTGCGATGCCGGTTATATCCGTGTATTATAATATCTCTTGCGTAGATGGCTGGGTACTGGGTAGTTTCAGTGGGACTGCCCGCTATGGCCGAAATTGATTAGAGAGACTTTATTATTTGACATCTATACATACTCGTATAATAAAATATTGAGTCGAATCTGTACATTAAATATTTTTTAGAAAATCTTATTAAAATTGTTATTATTATTATCGATACAGTGGCCGAATCTATAGTTTTTAGAATTTTTGTCTGTCTGTGAACGCTTCACGAGAAAACCACTCGACAGATTTTGATGAAATTTGGTATGATGATAGATGGTTATCCGGGTCACAACATATAGGATACTTTTTACTGCGGGAAAAATCTCATCTCTGAGAAATCTATACTAAACCTTAAAACGTAACTACAAAACCGAGCGTTAGTTCCCCTTTATAAAGATTAGTGTGTCAGATCTATTTCCTCAGGTTTTTTTTGAAGAAATAAAATATTAAAAGTATGCTTAGTATATATAGATTACTAGCAACGTACCCACGCTTCGCTCATGTGCGTCTCTAAGTTTGAATGTTTAGGAATGGAAAAAAGACAAAAATTCTTTTTTTTTTGCGGCAGGAAGTTCAATCACAATGGGTTTAATGATTTAGGGACTCATAGAGGACAAACATACGAGTATAAAATTTTATTTATATAAATAGATTTAAAGTTTTTATTCATTTGATTTTTTTGTATTGCAGCCGGTGGTCAAAGAGGGTTATTTGATGAAGCAAACCCGCAGCTTCCAGAGATGGCAGCGGCGGTACTTCAAGTTGCGCGGGCGCACGCTTTACTATGCCAAGAAAAAAGATGTGAGTACTTTTGAAATGATATGAAATTAAACTTTATTCAAGTAGACTTATACAAGCACTTTTGAATTGTCAATTTAATTTAAATAGCGTCAGTATAGTCAGTCCGTAAGGAAGCTACCACCCGCTCGGAAAGTAGTTCTGCTGAGAAGAGCCGGCGAGAAACTCAACAGTTGCTCTTTTAAATTTCAACGAGTTATATCTTATTTATTTTATTAACATAGCATTTTATACTTGTAATATGTATAGTTGATATATATATATATTATTTATTACTATATATCAGAATTACTGGTTCTCTTCGTATATTAAAATATAATAAAAACCATAAGAAGTTATGCAAAATAAAGATTAAACTGTCACCTGTCTATAGTTTATTCAGATCGGGTTCAATCGGCAAGTGTGAGCGCGTTTTATGCGCCATATTGATTTAGCAATCAGTTGGTCGTAGTAGTGTAACCCATCAAACTTTTTATCGGATGAAACCGATTCGTTTGCTATGTGCCCACTTGGAAATAATTTCATACTCTTTACCAGTTCGACTAAGCTATAAGTTAATAGAAAATCTATGGGGGCTGTTAGACATTATTCATTATACGGTCGGAACCTTTCATTATACAAGTTTTTTTTATATGTTCGGACATTAACACACAGTACCATCTAGTTCCATGGCACGGTAATGTTACATAACATTACCGTGTCCATGGTAAGCTACGAGACCTATGTTATGGATACCAAATAGTTACTACTACCAACTACACATATATAACTTTAAATACATATATATTATAAATATAATCTATACATATAATAAAATTGTAACTAAGGCGAATCTGTACATTAGATATTTTTTGGAAAATCTTATTGTATCCCATGTCCTTCCTAGAATCTTCAGTAGATCCAGAAATTACCCCCTACAGCGTCACAAACTCACAATCTCACAAACTCGCAAACTTTACCTCTTTATAATATAAGTATAGATAAACAGGAAAGATTTATTTTTTGTTTGTTTGTTTGTTTGTACGAATAGGCTTCGAAACTACTGAACCGATTTAGCTGAAATTTGAGTTTTTATCCCGGAAATCATCCCTTAAGGGGGTGAAAATGGTGATGAAAGTTTGTATAGGGAATCAACCTATGGACTAACCCGAGCAAAGCGAGAGTGATCGCTAGTCCCATTATAAACAAACTTATAACCTCTTTATAATATAACTATACTATATAGATTATATAAAGGTGTAAAAAAATCTTTGAATAAAGATATATAAACTATAAGTTGTAGTATAGTATTATATGAAGTCTACTGTAATGAAATATTTTATACCTATACATATGGAAACAGCCTTTCGAACTAGAATCATGAAAAGGCGCAATAATACTCTATATCTATACATATAATAAAATTCTGACAGAGTCGAAACAGTACATTAAATATTATTTGAAAAATCTTATTGAAATAGTCATTATTATCGATACAGAGGCCGAATCTATGGTTTTTAGAATTTTTGTCTGTCTGTCTGTTTCTGTCTTGCCCTGACTACTCTCTACTGACTTACCCTTCAGTTACGCCTAAAGAAATTTTACTTAAGAACTAAATATAGAGTACATTTACTCATCACAGAAAAACCTTTAACTAGCACTTTTAGTATGTACATATATATAAAGGTAACTAAAATTATTATAATAGACACTTTACACTATAGAACATATGTGCATGTATGTGATAAGACGAAAGCGTATCCGACCGTACTTGCCGTTAAATTGTCGTCTTTTATTACACCTTTTAACGGTGGTTTCATTCTCTTGGAGAGAATCTTTCTAACATAAAACGTATATCGTCATATTAAAATTGCCACTCATTAACCTTTGATTTAATATAAATTTTACTAGCGACTCGCCCACACTCCGCTCGCGTTCGTCCCCGTTTTAACGTTTAGTATAGACTAGCGTTGCCCGCGGCTCCACCCGCGTTCAGATGACCAAAAACCAAATTCTTAGGTTTTTTATATTAATATACTCTTACATTGCAGGTTTAGTATTTTTTCTTAGAAATGAGATATTTTCCCGCGGTAAAAAGTATTCTATAATTGTTGACACGGATAACCAGCTATCACCATACCAAATTTCATCAAAATCCCTCCAGTAGTTTTACTGTGATGCGGTAACAGACAGACAGATAGATAAAAATTCTAAAAACTATAGATTCGGCCTCTGTATCGATAATAATGTTTATTTCATTAAGATTTTCCAAAAAATATCTAATGTACAGTTTCGACTCAGTTACAATTTTATTATATGGATAGATTTCTCAGAGATGAGATATTTTCTCGCAGTAAAAAGTATCCTATATGTTGACCCGGATAACCAGCTATCATCATACCAAATTTCGTCTATATCGGTTTAGCGGATTTATAGTTTATCCATTACAAACTCACAAACTTACAAACTTTACCTCTTTATAATATCAGTGTGGATTGAAAATAGTAATTTAAAATTAATTATTATAATTTGATCGAGTTAATATTGTACTAGTACACAGAATAACAAATTCTGATTTAACAATTTATCATGAGCAAAATTTGGAAATTTCCTTTTAAGTAAGAAAATGCTTTTTGTATAATAAATTTTAACCAAAAATGTTTACCGACTTCAAAATTAATTAAACGTATCATATCTTTACGTAAACATGTATTAGCCTACCTGTATTTTAGGTGGATTTTATTCAATTTACTAGCATTGCCCGCGGCTCCGCCCGCGTTCAGATGACAAAAAACCAAATTCTTAGGTTTTACATATTAGTATACTCTTACATTGCATTGTATGTGTATTTTTTCTCAAAAATGAGATATCTTCCCGCGGTAAAAAGTATCCTATATGTTGACCCGGATAACCAGCTATCACCTTACCAAATTTCATCAAAATCCCTCCAGTGGTTTTTCCGTGATGCGGTATCAGACAGACAGACAAAAATTCTAAAAACTATAGATTCGGCCTCTGTATCGATAATAATGTCTTTTTCAATAAGATTTTCCAAAAAATATTTAATGTACAGATTTGGCTTAGTTAGAATTTTATTATATGTATAGATATGAAACTTTATCTTATATTATATTCTTATGTATAACTTATTATATAAAACTTAACGCTATGTCCCTTGCTGGATAGCCATTTCTCTGATTACGGAGTGCCAAGCACTACGATATCTACATGCCACTCTTGCCTTTTCTATGGTTATAATTGTAGCATATTGATTTAAATATAATATAAAATTCTTAGTTATACGAAAATATATCCTCCAAAATACCTGTCTTTTTTTGAAGACGGTGAAAAAAGTAAATAGTCCTGGCGATTCGTTTTCACCAGATCTCCTAATAATTGTTGTTGGTTTTTTTTATTCCGAGTGGGAATCGAACTCGTGATCTAAGTTCATCAAGTAGGTGGTCTTTAAAAAGCCAACAAGCATCGATTTTTTTATCAACAAAGCTAGCTATTGTATATATAATACTCGTACATCTGCAGTAGGTACTCGGTTCACATATAGGCCAGAGGTCACGGTTAAGTGGTCTACACTGAATATGACTGAATAAACATTTTATTATACGGTTTCAAAATATTTATTCCGTCATTAACGTTTATTTTTAACCCCCGAGAGAAAACGATGTTATACATTTGACCCTTTGTTCTTGTTGTTTGTCTGTCTGTTCGTGTGTGTGAAACGGATAATTATGTAACTATTTAATCAAATAATGTGTTGTAAAGTAGAAAATTTTATCTCTATCGATTACTTGTGATGGTACTTCTACAAGTTGTAGGGAAATTAATAAACTTAAATTATTCCCAAAAAATGCAGATTTCAACAGGAAAAACGGTATCGAAATTTATTTAGTAATTCTCGAGATTAGCTCGTATTTACGAGTATGTCTCTACTCATAGTTGCTTGCTAGTGAATTCCTTTTATATGTGAAAGACAGGATATATATATATATATATATATATATATATATATATATATATATGTATAAATAGGTAGTGAAATGTAACTCCTCCAGATCTCGATCCAGATCCAGGTCTGGGATTTTCTTTTTTACTTAGTTTTAAAGACTTTTACTGTTAATTTTTTTATTTAATTAGTGATATGTAATTAAATTTAAAAAAATAAAAAAATACAGTAAAGTAATTTCTTAATTAAAAAAAAATGGTATTATATATTTGTCTTTTCTTACAAATTACTGTATATAATCTGTACATATATTATAATTCTGAGTCGAATCTGTACATTAAATATTTTTTGGAAAATCTTATTGAAATAGTCGTTATTATCGATACAGAAGCCGAACCTATAGTTTTTAGAATTTTTGTCTGTCTGTCTGGGAACACATCACGTGATTTTATTGAAAATTAGTATGAATAGATAGATGGTTATCCGGGATCTATAGGATATTTTTTACTGCTGGAAAATGTCTCATCTCTGAGAAATCTTCACTAAGCGTTAACACGTAACATTTTATATAAATATCTCTTATTAATCCAATATTTTTTTACTATCAAAAACGGTCCTTATGTACTGTTATAGAAGTCACAAAGGATTTGATACTTTGAAAGAAGTTGAACTGCTTTTAAAGGTTTAGAATTTTAATGGTTATAGTTTAAAGGGCAGATATACTGCCATCGTTCCAACGGATCATCGACCTTCGATATCATGTTTTACGCTCCATTTACTCCATGCTCTACAATCGTATGTAGGCGCTTAAAGGATGTCACAGCACTCAATAATACTCGTACAGCTTTATATGTCAAAACGTTTGTATGGAAAGTGACTACAATAGTGTATCAATCCTTTTAGAAATGTATCAAATCATGATACCCTATTATATATAATCAAGTTTTCTTAAATGATGGGATATTCGTTTGTGCTGTATATTTAGGTTCGTGATATGGCTCAGTGGCATTGATGTGCTTATTTGTAACTAGCAACTAACCCTCGGTTCGCTGGGTTCGTCCCTAGATTGCTTCCCCATATAAAC